TTGCAACAGGAACCAGTCCAGATAATATACGGGAGTTCTGGTGCATTTGTGTATGAACTCCAGCATATTATGCTGGACCGGTATACCTTGCTAACTCCTGTAAAATTTGCGGGAGACTGGAGCACAGTGCTCCAAACTCCAGTTATTATACCGGACAAATTACTTGCTGGAACTCCCGTAAAATTTGGGAGTTCCAGCATAATTATGCTTGAACTCCCGTAAAATTTGCGGGAGTTCCAGCATACTTATGCTGGAACTCCCGTAAATTTGCGGGGCGTATTTTTCCGGATTGAACAGTGTTTTCGCTCAGATTTAAAGTGGCTAAATTTCAATGACTTTTGAAACTTGGCTATTTTCAACGACCAGTGGTAAATCTGGCTATTTTTGAATTTCTCCAATGTATAGTTCACCGCATGAATGGACCTTTCATATAGTTCACTGACAATTTCCTAACTCCGTTTTGTAGTAGCTCACTTTAATGGACAATTTTGCAGCTTAATGTACTCTGATCAATATAGTCAACATCAATATCTTGCTACCCCGGACACAAAATGTACTCTGATTAATCATCCTGGTTAAAACTCACTCATAATCTGCCTATGGCAAAAATAACCAATTAGAAGTATCCTATACCATTTCCTTAACGAATTTAAGAAAAATTGAATTAGATTGTTAAATGTGAAATGCTGCATACGAGATATGTACATCCCTGTTAAGATAAAAATTGGTCCAAATTAATAAAAGAAAGACGCAAAAAAATTTCAGGTTTTGGCAACCAATAGAGCAGGTGCTCGAATCACCATCAAGAAAACCACAAAATAGACAAGCTGAGGGCATAAACTTAGCCAGTACTGGAATTAGATTGTTCTTACCTGCTACTGCTAGTCCACTTTGCAATAACTGAATTCAGGTGAGAGAGATAAAGCGTTATTCTTCAACAGCCCAGAATCATCACCAGGAACTTGCTTTCTGATCTGTTTCTCCTGCAGTTTTGTCCATACTCTTGAATTCCCAGTAGAGACTTCAAAAACCTCTTGCATGATGGTCTCAAATCCCTGTCATTTCTGTAAACACTGGAAAGCCAATTCTGCCACGGCGGTGTCATTCAACTTTACCTTCTCATTGGAATTCAAAACCAAGACTTGGATCAAACCAACTCATGCAGTGCATTGCTCTGAATCTTGTTAATAGCCATATTTTGACAGATTTATTTCGTATCGATGCCTAGAATATCAACAGCTGGTTAGGAGGATTATAGCTCGATTAGTTACACCCCGAAACTATAAACATCACTTTTACTGGTGAGTTGATAGCATTCGTGATAACTGGGGATCAACATATCCAGGGGTGCCCTGTGGAGCTGTTGAGACGTGAGTAGCATCAGTTGGGAAAAGCCGAGGACAAGCCAAAATTCCTACTTTGACGCAGAGAAATTATTGTCTAGGAGGATATGTTAGTTTTTACATTCTCTGTGAATGACATTCTGAATTTGGAGATAGGCTAGTGCGCTTGCGGTTTCTCATGGCTATGCTCATTCGTGTAATCCATGAAAGTGAATCCAGGCTTAGTGTGTTCTCCATGAAGATGTCAGAGACTGTGCCATTGGAATATATTCATACACCAGAAAGAAGCTCGCGGCTATGGCGAGATGTGCATCCGTAAAGGGTAACTAGATTCGATGGTGCAAGCGTGTGAGGAGTTCAACTTCATTGCGAATTGCTCAAACCCTCTTGTAGTTGTTCTCATATAAACGTTTTACAGCAACAACACGTCCATCTCGAGTTTACCTGTAACATACATGTAAACAGATGGTCAGATAAAAAATTTAGGTTAGTAGCAGGTTGGTGGTGAAAAGAAGATCACTTCGAGTAATTCTATTACCCTTTGTATCTGTGCCAAAGCCACCTTCCCTAGCTCTTTTTTGGAATCAAAATTGCTTTGTGCTTTTGCAGGTTTTGTAGTCAAATACGTGAAATTCCGAAATAGTGTGAGAGCCTTTTCAGGGTTCCGTTATTGAGGAGGGATAAGAAAGATGCTACTGGAGATCAAAGACGACCGCGTCACTTTTCTCTGTTCGACGATAGAGGAGAAGAAAATTACAACATGCCAAAAGGCAGTTAATGCAGTTTGCACTTGCACCTGAAGAGAGGAAATATGTGACCAGGAGAGTTCGGATCGTTGTTGAAGAGAAGGACAATAACAAGATGAACAAGGTCAAAGGACAGTTACTACGGCAGCCTTCACTCTGATATCTTTTATTGCCTGTAACGCAGACATAAAAAAGTGATGAAATGATACAGAAACACAATAAAGAATCTTCAGTGGTATAATAAATCAACTGCTATCACCTTATTGTTTCTATCTATGAAGGAATAAGGTGGTTATTTTTGTACTCCGTTATGGATCATACATAGTCAAAAGTGGAATTGGACTTTTAAGTTTCTAGATTAAACATGACGTGTTCGCTTTGAGATTTAGATTCGTTATTCCGAGCACCCACATTGCTCTATGCTATTCAAGCAATCTCGACATTTCCTTCTCTCTTTTGCAGAAGTTGTGGGTAATCATTTTCGCATTAAACAGGGTGCTGACATGATTCTACTGCAATAGTTATAGTGCTCTAGAAACTCACTATGAAAAAACGGAAAAGAATGATTGATGATAGCTTTACTGGCAATTTACAACATATGTT